GGCCGGGAGGCGGCCACGGGCAGCCTCTTGCGCGGAGACCACCGAACGGCTGTCTCCGCCGAGCTTAAAATGGCCATCCGGATTCCTGGGGGCCGACCTAGCGGCCGTTTTAGCGGTGCTTGCCGAATACCCGATAAAAATGTATGTATACTGATGTTCAAGGCAACCAAAGGCAATCCAGAAGCGTTATCTGCTTGGGTGAGCCGGAGGGAGGGTATCGGGTAGCCTAGCTCTTCCAGCACCGGGTGCGTGTGTGTGGTGATGAGCAAAGTCTTTAAAATAGGTGTATTTTCTCCTTTGAAAGGAGGGTTATTTACCTCTTGGGGAGGAAATTTGCTGCTCTGCAGATGCGAAGTGTTACTGTGATGATATCCCGGCACAGCAAAACGTGAGGGAAACTTAGCTTTTATGCACGCCTCCGTTTCTTCCTCATAAAAACCACCCACCAAAACTTGAATGAAATGTCTTTACAGTAAGCCAAATAAATTATTTTCCATTTTTGCACATTGGGATTTTAGTTTTTATAAAATTTTCTGTGTGCGCTGTAACTGCTTGCGCTGTGAACTTTGTCCTTGTACTTCAGCAACTGGGCTTTGTCTCTAGTTAATGTACGGTGTACATGGGCAAAACTAAATCGGAGAGAAATTAGGTGGCTCCCCTGCAGTGGCCGTGCGATGTGAGATTATGGTCACACGTAATATGATACAGACTTTTAAAATGTAAATAACTTGTGTATTGATAAGATAAATTATCTAAAAGTTTAAATATTTTAAAGTTTTAAGACAGTTGGATTATTTAATTTCTTGTTAAAAAAAAAAAAGACCTTTGGAAAATGCATAATCTTCAGAATTACCCAATAATATATATACGTTTAGTGTTTTGATTCACGTGCCAAAAATTAAATGAAGGAGCGCACGAATTTATTTGATTACGATTTTTATCTACTTCCTCAGAAAGACAAATTTAAACGAGTTCATAAGGACTGGAGTAAGGGATATAATTACAGAATGATATAGGTTTATGCCTTCAAAGCATCAGTGTTGGTGTTAGGTGACGATATCTGAACTGGGTATAAGAGAACAGTGGCTGAAGTTAGAAGTTGCCTTGCTTCAGACTCATGCTGCGTGCTAGGTTGATCAGTTGAGCGTCTTGTATATGTTAGCAGTGGAGCATCAGGAACATAATCAACATATGACAATACATTCACACACTGGAAGGATGTTTTTTATGAATAGTTATATTAATTTCCAATTAATAAGTGGCAAATCAAAGTACAGACTGGCTAAATAACTTGCCCGAGGTCACTTAAGCAGTCTGGGGCAGAGCTGAAAATAAATTGTACAATCTTTGTAAATCCTAATGTGTGATCGTATTTCCTCTTGCTTTCTATTCACAGCATTTTTATGAACATAGCTATTTACTTTGTTTACAGAATCGATAGTTTACTGAATAAGCTAGAGAGTCACTTGGGCTGCAAAGATGTTGGAAGAAGACATGGAGGTGGCCATCAAGGTGGTGGTAGTAGGAAATGGAGCTGTTGGAAAGTCCAGTATGATTCAGCGATATTGCAAGGGGATTTTTACAAAAGACTACAAGAAAACTATTGGTGTAGACTTCCTGGAAAGACAAATCCAGTATGTATTAAACAGATGCCACACTACTGATTTTCATCTTTCCCTCTATTTCTTTGTTCTGTTGTGATTTTAAGATTTGCAAAGGCTTGAAACAAGGCCTGCTGTCTCCAAAGCACAGTAAAGGGAGTTGTTTTCTCTCTTGCATAGTGGGCTAAAATTACATTACTATTTTCCATACAAGATTTAGAATTATAAATCAAAAGCAAAATAAAATTTGGAACTTCTGTCGTACTAAGCTTTTTGACAAGTTTTCTTTGTATTCTACCACCTGTTGATTTTTTTTTTTTAATTTCTTGTGCAGGAAGTGGAAGTGCTTATGATAAAATGATTACACAAATTTATTAGCCAATATAGATTAATATGACTGTGGAAAAAAAATTAAATATGCTATAGATTTAGTCTCTTTGTGTAATATAAGCAGATAATACCCAATTATGTTCGATAAAATGGCAGATTCTATGGTAATGAGAAGTAAGAAAATTCTATAAATTTTGTAAGCTGATTAAAAAGACAAAAGGACCGTTATTCAGGCACCTAAGTTTTGTTTTGAAGTCTATATTATTTTTCCTCATAGAGGGAAATGCAGAGGAAGAGGAGGAAAGGAAGAGGAAAATGTAATATGGATTGTCAGGAAAGAGCATGTAATGTAATTGAGGGACTACTGCCATAGCATGATACAGAGGTGAACCGTTATCAATATTTAAATGAAGTTAAATTTGAACTGAATTACTCTTATATTGTAGACATAGAAATATTCCCGTGTCAGTTGTTTTGAATTGTTCTTCTTCATTGTGTTGATTACAAAACCGTGTCATTTATTTCAGAGTTAATGATGAAGATGTCAGGCTAATGTTATGGGACACTGCGGGCCAAGAAGAATTTGATGCAATAACTAAGGCCTACTATAGAGGTGAAAATACCATGTTTGTTACTTGGCAGTTGTATTTGGGGGGTTTTTTTGGTCTGCACATCTCTGAGGTATTTTCCTATCTCTGTGTTAAGAATTTTAGTTATTATTTTATGTGTATGCAAAGTGTTTTTAGTTCACCTTTTTCAGTTCTTAAATATTTTTCCCCTTCATGTAAGATCCTTGCCTTAGTTAAGTGTCACTTTATGCAGGATGCTCAGTAGCACCCTTTAAAAACATAGAACAAAATGAGACAAATATCTGTGCAGAAACTGCACAGAATGTAGCCATTCAGACAATCAAATGCAAAATTATATTTTTTCCCTCAAAGTGTTTTCTTACTTGTATAAGACATATATTTGTAAATGTTCCAAAAACTATGGCTGAGGCACTTAGAAATTAATCCCAGGGAAAAAAAAATCCGCCAGTCATCCTACAAAGATAGTTTATTAGGCACAACAGTTCTCTTGCTAGTACAGACTGCCTTGAACACATTAATACAATGGAGTAATAAGGAAAGCGTATCTACTTCATAAAATACAAACTATATTATTCAGTTATATAAAGGTAGGTTATCTATTTAGCCAGTTACAAATTGCATACTTAGGCTTTCTTTGCATAAAATTTAACAATGGTTGTGAAAATCTTTCCTTTTTGTTTTTTGACATGAGAGAGATGAATGACTTGGCAAAGATTCCATCATTCAGTTCTTACCAAACTAATTACCTGATGGCTGGGAAAAATATATCACTATGCTATAAAATCTTAGAACAATTACCTTATTTAGAAATAAAATAATAGTTATGCCGTTGTCGTGGTTTAACCTCAGCCGGCAACTGAGCACCACGCAGCCGCTCGCTCACTCCCCCCGAGTGGGATGGGGGAGAGAATCGGAAGGGTAAAAGTGAGAAAACTCGTGGGTTGAGATAAAGACAGTTTAATAGGTAAAGCAAAAGCTGCGCACGCAAGCAAAGCAAAACAAGGAATTCACTCACTGCTTCCCATTGGCAGGCAGGTGTTCAGCCATCTCCAGGAAAGCAGGGCTCCCTCATGCATAACGGTTACTTGGGAAGACAAACGCCATCACTCCAAACGTCCCCCCCTTCCTTCTTCTTCCCCCAACTTTATATACTGAGCATGACGTCCCATGGTATGGAATATCCCGTTGGCCAGTT